AGTTACCCCATATCACAACCCCATGCTTGTGTCAGAGATATAAAAATGTAACATGATATTTAAGGTTTTAGTTGCAAAATCATCAAGCCTCCCAGACAGAGGCAATAGAGCAAAATGATTACAGAGGCATGGATTTTGATTTGCTCCAGTGTCTTGGCCAAGTCACTTGGCCTCTGTATTTATTTGTACTTATCTGCACTTATCTGTCACTTGGGGGTTATAATTGTACCTAGTCCATGGGTATATTGTACAAATTATCTGTAAAATAGTTAGAAGAAACCGACACAGAGTAAGCACTCCACAGACATTGGCTATTAGCTACTGGAAATATTCCTCCATGAAAAAGATTACTTTATCAGTGGATGACTCGGTGGGAGAGAGTGAATCACAGAATCACAGCATGTTGAAAGTGACCTAGTTCACACTCTTACGTGAAAAAAAGAAAAGTGTGTATGTGTAGAAAATGTCTGAAAGTTTACATAACAAATAGTTAATCATCTTAACTTTGAGGATTAGAATAAATCAGGAAAGAAGAAAAGATTGAGTGTAATTCAATTTCTATATCATTTGTGTTTCTACACTGAGACTTTTAATACGCTGGAAGTGCAATTTTTTTTAATGTGGCGGGATAAAGGTTTTCAAGTTTTCCTGATACATCTGTATTATTATTTCAGAATTGCTAGCATTTCTTGTCATCTTCGGATCTACACCCATTTGAGTCAGTGGGCCATTCTGGACGGAGGAGATAATAGATCAGAAGTGAAGTGAGAGAAACGGAGAGAAAAGATTTTCTCTTTTCTCTTAAAAGAGGAAAGGTCTTTGGAATGGGAACAACTCACAACGATACTTTTGGAAAGGATGTGATGGAAAATGAGACAAACATCCTACCCCTGTGATGAGAAGGATTCCTTGGGCTGGATGGAAGGAGGTCAGAGGTGGTTGGACAAGGAAACCAACTAGGGAGAAACACACACAAGTGCAGAGCAAACACCCTGAGGCCACTCAGCCTGACTCCATGCAAACATATGTCCAGCAGCCAGCCCTTCACCTGTGGTTCCCCGGCAAGACAGGTACCTCGGGGGTACCAACTCATTCTGAGTCCATTATGCCTGGCCATTCATAAACCGCTGTCTGACTTGTGAGGAATAAACTCTAAATGTTTACGAGGAAATTGGGGAAGGAGATTGAAAGGTTACTTAAACAGAAAAACAAGTTCAGGAAGGCAGGATGGTAGAGAGACAAGAAATGGACCTTAAAAGATAGAAAGGATTTGCCAAAGAAGAGAAAGAAAAAGAAATGATTCCAAATGGGTTAACCTGCAGCTAGGAAGTTAAGGAAGATTATTGATGTGTGAGGACTATGGAATAAAGTGAATAAAATTTATCAGAAGTTGCTGAGAATATGGTAAGAAGCATGATTATCAAATTATGAATTTCCTGCAATGACATTCTAGGGGGACACTAGGAAGGGGAAGCAAATGTTCATGAGATGATAGTAGCAGGTGGAACGTTGTTTCAGGGGAAGATCAGTCTTGCAGTGTGTATCAGAGGAGGGCAAGTGTGAGCAAGCAATGAAATACTAAGTGTATATGGTTCCTTCACTGAGTGCACCCAGCCCCGTGGTCAGACTTGAGAACAAGCAGGACTTCAGGTACTGGAGCTACATTTCATTCATCAAGACTTGAGAAGACACCCTTAACTCAGGTCTTCTCTTCAAACTCCATCTTTCCTTCTTGAGCTTCATTTGGCCTCCTCCCTTACCCTCAAGCTGTGGACTAATGCCACAGAGCAAGATGGGTCACTAGTGTCCTCCATCCCCTAGCGACTGTGGTTCACATCAGTGGAGTACCAAAGGCAATAACCAAGTAACAGACACAAGAGTGTATGAACAAGAAGAGATTCTGATAAGGCTTTCTGTGACAGTGTGGACCAAGTCGGCTGTATATGCCTGGTATCACCTTCATCATGAGCATCCTTAGGGGAGAAGTTCTCAGAAGGCAGAGCCTGGCTCTCTAGAGGCTCTGCGTCCTCACAGCCCACTCGAAGACCTCAGTTAAAGCTTCAGCTCCCAATATCTCTCCCTCTGCCTACTCACAGTTTTTGAAGTCTTCTTTCCTCCACATTTCTCTTGAGAGATGGAAGAGGAGGAAGAGGTTCAGGCCAGCTCAGACTCCCCTGGGATCCCAGCAGGATGCCTATCATTAACCTCCCACCTTCTAGGAAGCTCCTAAGATCTCCACATTTGGGGGAGTTTTCATTTCATCTGTGCTTCAAATTGCTGGCTGGAGATGGCCTGTTGGAAGGTGGCTAAAAGCAAGTAGGAATCCTTTGGGCAGCCTGGCCCTTCTCGACTGTCAAACATCTTCAGGGAGATTCTAGGAAACATTGTTTGTTCTAGAGAAGGGAGGGAAACAATCCAATTGTCCAATAATGCTTGAATTGAAAATAAATGATGCTATACGCATGTGACGAAATAATATCAAACAGTCAAAAATAAAAGACCTAGATCTATATGGATTGATGTGGATAAATCTTGAAAACATAATATTGATTGAAAGAAAATAAGATAAAGAATGTTAGATTATGATAACAGGTATGTAAGTATTTAAATATTTAAATCAATTCAACATATTGCTTGTATATATATATATATATATATATATAGATGCAAGAAAATAAACTTTATCCAAAGAACACATTATTTACATTTAATTTGCTCATTTATCTAGGAAACCCAAAAGAACCCACAGATAAACTAGTAGGAACTAATAAGACGGTTCAACAAGGCAGACAGATACAAGATCAATAAATTTTAAAAACCAATCAGGCTCCTCTACACTGGTGATAACAAATTAGAAACTGTAAAAGAAAATAAGAAAAAAATAAGATCTAAAAATAGTTACAAGAGCTATATAAATTATTTAGAGCTAAGCATATGTAAAAGTAAATAGAACTAACAAACTGAGTATGCCCAATTAAACTCTGCCCAACCCAAGGATTAAAAAAAGACCGTTCTTACTTTATGAGAACAGACCCTCTTCTTAAGTAGCAGATCAGTAAGTGAGAGTGAATCCAAGAAACACAGCATTTGAAAAGTCAGCTAGTCCAAGCCTCTTGATCACACATACAGAAGCTGAAGCCCAGGAAGGTTGAGTTACTTGGTAAAGGGCCCAATGTCCTGACTCAAGGACTAGCATTTTTCACTAATTCATAAGACACAATCAAATTCAGTACCTTGGAAAGACATGGAAAAAAATGAAGAAATCAATCATATAGTTACTCATCTTTAAGTACAGAAATAGCCATGACAAAATTACAGGTATTGAGGGAGAACTGAAGTACAGAGTTTAAAATGTCAATAACCCACAAGGAAACTGGAGACTATTTAAAATATTAATATTAAATCTCTATATAAAAGACATTAAAAGATCTCCAATCAAAATGTTAATTTTAGAATAGATATGGTATGGTACAATTTATAAATCAAAAATACTTAGAAGAAACACAATCTGGTTAACAAGTAAAGTCACAAGACAATTGCAGGAGAAAAAGAGTATCTTTCTCGAAATGTCCATCAATAAGGGAATAATTATATTATGATTTGTCACTAGAAGTAAATAAATAACATTTGCCTAAAAAATGGGATAGACCTACAGCAAAGATTTATACTAAATCTCTATATTAAAGACATTAAAATATCTCCAATCAAAATGTTAATTTTAGAATAGATATGGTATGATATAATTTATAAATAAAAAATCTCTATAAAGCATCACATATAAAGCACTTACATATGTAAATTCATGGACCAAAAGTCTTGAAATCAGACAGCTAGTGATCAATAATCTCTACAAAAGGAAGTAGTCTTGAGAGTGGGGTTGGGGGGTTATGAAGGGGGACTTTTATTGTACTTTTATACATTGTACCCTTTAAAATAATTCAGTTTTTTTAAATTAATTTATTTATTTGGGGTTGCATTGGGTCTTTGTTGCTGCCAGCGGGCATTCTCTAGTTGCGGTGAGCGGGGTCTACTCTTAGCTGTGGTGCACGGGCTTCTCATTGCAGTGGCTTCTCTTGTTGCGGAGCACGGGCTCTAGGCGCACAGGCTTCAGTAGTTGTGGCACGTGGGCTCAGTAGTTGTGGCGTGCGGGCTTAGTTTCTCCGTGGCATGTGGGATCTTCCCACACCAGGGCTCGAAGCCATGTCCCCTGCATTTGCAGGCAGATTCTTAACCACTGCGCCACCAGGGAAGCCCAATAATTCAGTTTTTTATAAAGAGAATATTCCTAATATTATTCCTAAATTTTAAAAATATATAGTTGGATAACACTATGAAAAATTAACTGATATATTTTTTATTATTTCTCTTTGCTCCCTGGATTTTTTTCCCCATCCAGTCAGCTAGGCACTCTGAGTTCACTGCATTAGGAAGGTAAAGACAGCAGAAATGAGGGAGAAAAAAAGAAAATTCTCAGCTTTGGAATGTTAAAAACGGAGGCCACAGTAGAACAGGTGAGAATTCTGTGAACAAAAAATAAATCTCGTCTCAAATGTAAAAAGTATTCTCTGCACTGGGAGGCAGGAGAGGGAGGGAGGGAAGGACTGAAGGAGAGAGATCAGTGTGGCCAGGGACATAGAAACTGTGCTTGAGGACGATATGCCCAGGAAGAGAATCAGAATCTGGAGAAGATTCAGCCTGCATGTGATCATCGCCTCCAGCCAGCATCCCCATCTCAGACCTCAGGAAATTCAGAGAGAGAGTGGGAGTAAGTCAGGAGGGCCACGCACACAGTCTGTGTGGCAAGGGTTGTGGCCATTCCCTATGTGTGAGAAGTCTCCAGCAATTTCCAGGCCTCCTTCTGGAAAATGCTGGTGGATGTCTCTAGTGCTTATGTGAAAGCTTGTTCACAAACCTTGAAAGATACAGATGTAGACGACTGACAGATAGATGCATAGATAGAAAAATGTAATTAAATAAAACATCCAGGAAAGGTTTGGGAAATGCCCTTTATTGCATATGATGTTTATAATATTATATTAATGTTAGACTGAGTGCTGGTCCCTTCATCCTCCTTCAGACCACGGCATTCTGTCTGCTACTATCCTGAGGGTCCTTTCTTCTCCCTGGAAGGGAGAAAACAAATGAGGTAGAACAGGAAGAGACAAGAAGCACTATAAGCTCTGCTGGTCAGGGTTACCCTCCAGCGTTGCCTTAAAGCTCAGAGCCACACACAGCACAGTGAGCTTGGCTCCAGATCAACCACCGCACAACGAAGGTTCTGGAACATTTCCATATCTCAGGGGACCTTATTTCCACGTGACTCTCTTTCACATTCCCCTTTGTCCCAGAAGGCTAGGTACAGTGGTCAGAGTGAGATCTCAGCTCAGGCCAAAGGCTCTCAGACCTCAAAGTTTTGGTCCTACAAGGGCCCCTGTCCTCTCTTCAGACCACTCCTGGCTCTCTCTGCCGAGAAGGAGCTGCTGGCAGTACGTCCTCTTAGAGTTGAGGTCCACCGTGCAGGCCCTGAGAAAACTCCTAGTCAAAACGCTCCACATTCTTGTTTAAGTCAACAGAGGTCAATTCCTTTGGAAGTGCTGGGTGTGTCCCCAAGTCAACTCAACTGCACAGCCATTAGGTAAACCAGCACATCTCTGCGGCCCCTTCCCTTAGACTCCTCTGGGCCCTCGTGACATAGGCTCAGAAGACTGTGCCAGCCTCCAGCCTTACCTCTTCCAAGAGAAGGCCACACCGTCTTCCAGGATCTTCTGTCCCATGAATCTCAGTTGCTGTGTGGAAATCGAAAGAGAGAAAAACACTTCTTAGCTAAAGAGAATTTCTTGTGGGAGCTGAAAAGCTCAGGATAAATTCCCACTTACAGTCATGACTTTATTATTAAATGACTGGGCCAGAAGCACGGGAGCCAGTTATCTCCCATTCAGTTGTCCCCTGAGGTGCTAAAGCCCCCAACTCTCCCTTATGGAAGCATGAGCCTGGGGTGGTGAGACGGGACTGGCTCGGGGAAGGTACAGCTCCCTCCGCAGCCCCAGCCCCTGCTCACTTCCTGTCCTTCGGAGAATGAAACACATAGACTGGACACTGGCTCCTTGGGCAGAGGTCTTCCCCCGTGGGCTGCTGCCCCTCATTCTCCTTTTCTTCTTGCTTCTCTTCCTCCTCCTCAGAGGTGCTCTCGGATTCCACATTGCCCGTCAGCTGGGACATGGCGAGATGAAAGACATGGCAGCTGAAGCCGTCCTGGACGCTGTACTGCACGTGCTGCTGGAGGATCTCCAAGGTGGGGAAGACCCGGCAGCAGGCCATGCACCTGAAGCCCTTCTCCATGGTCACCATCCAGTCCGGTGTCTTGGCCCTGGGTGTCTCCTTGACTGCAGGTGACCCTGATGGGCTGTCTGGCTCTGCCCTTTCCTCACGCTCATTCTCCTCCCCGGTGGGCTCACCGTCAGAGAGGTTTCTGGTGGACACATGAGAGGCGGCATTGCCTACCCACACATGCTCAGGAAGGGTCACTTCTTCTCTCCTCAGCTGCTTTTCTAGCAACTCCAAGGGTTTCTCTATCGTCCAGGAGACAGCTACACCCTTGTTCACTTGTACCCGCATGTAGAATATTTTCATGTCCCTTTCCTCTTCGTCTGTATACAGAGAGGCCTCACAGGATGAAGAGGATGAGAAGGAGACATACTGTGATGGGGGAGTGGTCTCCCCTTGTTCCTGAACTTGGGCTAGGGGTGCTCTAGGCTGGGCAGTGTCTCGATGTAATCTCTGGATTTCTGAAAAAGGAAATTAAAAACATAATAACATGCATGGGCCATGCCGGAAGCTGAGGGAGCAGGTGTGGTAGACGAGGGAGGGACATTTGCATGACATAGCTGTGTCATGAGCTTGGTGTCTGTTGGCCGTAGGATGGAGTGGTGTATCTGGTGTCATCTGTGGGCTTTTCATCTGCGCGTGGGGGGATACTGGAGCGGTTTCTGTATACAGGAGTGTGGAGTATGGTGGTGAGGGCTGTGGTATGTGAGGGATGCAGAAGGATGCGTGTACGACAAGGAGTGCGAGTTTGGAAATATCGGTGGTGCATTACTTGTGGAATGGGGCTGTGGTGCAGGAGAAGAGCACTGTGGATCACGTGCCTGGGGTTTATGTGTGCACTGAGAAGGGCTGTGCCTGGAGGGCGGATGTATGTGTGAGCTGTGTGGACCTCAGCTGGATGGTCCTGCTCTCAGGCTGGAGGTCTATGATGAAGAACTCTGTCCTTCTCTGGAAGCAAGGGCAAAGACAAACCCTACATTTCCCCCTGAAGATGCTTAATCCGGTCCCTCTGCCCTCCACCTCAAGCCCAGACCTTTCCGGCCCCTGCTCCTTGACTTCCCCACCATGGTGGTACCAGGATTCACACGCCCCCCAGACTCAGCTGGGATCCCTGCCCTCGTAACAGCTCAGCCATCCTGCCCAGGCTCCTCCACAGAGCCCTCATCACCTCTGATGACCCTGGGTTTCCTCTCAGCCTCCCTGGGATCTGTGTGCCTCCTGCCTCACAGCCAAGCACCCCCTCACCTGAGGAGCCCCGCGCCCTTACCACTGCAGATGAGCTTGCACGGAGAAGAAGCATAGGAGAAGAATTCAGAGGCAGAGGAGACCTCCCCTGACCCTGGGCTGCAGCCTTGGGCCACCACAGTGGATCCAAGCTGAGGGGGATCCTCTTGTGACTTCGAGATTCCTGAGGGAGGAATGAAAGGCTCAGGGTGGGTCCATCAGTCCTCTGTCCACAGATATTTACTGAGTGTCTGACACGTGTCAGGTGCAGCAAATACACACAGTTGAGAGTGCGGTTCCCAGTGGATACTCCAGTATTTAATTCAAATCAATACTTATTCTGTCAGTGTCTTGTTGGTAATGTAGGCCTCGGTGGTGGCTGTGAGTATGAGGGAAGAGTGAGTGATGTGTATCAGTTAAGTCTGTGGTAAGTGTGGGGTTGGCGTGGGGAGCACAGTGCAGATGTGTCTATCTGTGTCTGTGGCCTTTGTGTGCATGGTTTCTGTTCACAAGTCAGGAATTCTGGGACATGTAACTTTTCCTCATTACATGGTGTGGCTTGTATTTATGGTGTGTGTTCATTCTTTCATTCACCAAGATTCAGTAAGCAGCTACTCCTATGTATCCGGCACTCTTCCATTGTTCTAGTCTCTGGTAATGCTGCACATTCTAGTAGGGGAAGACAAACACTAAACAAAAATACAATAAATATATAATACATCAGCTGGTGGTAAGTATATAAGGGCTGCCAGACTTAGCAAACAAAAATACAGGGCACCCAGTTAAATTTCAATTTCAGATAAACCCAGAATAATTTTTTAGTGTAAGTATTCCCATGCACTATTTGGTCTTACTTATTTTTAGTGTAAGTATGGCCCATACGATATTTGGGACATACTCATACTGAAAAATTACTTGTTGTTTATCTGGAATTCAAATTTAACTGGATAGCCCATATTTTATCTGGCAACCCTGACATGGGTTAGTGAGACTGTGGTTTACTGTGGTTTGTACAAAGCAGGTCTGGCATTACTCAAGAATGTGTTATAAGTGTGGTGTGTATGACATGTGACTGGTTCTTATAGAGGTATTTAGAGATAGCTGAAGTTAGCTGTGTTTGTGCGAGAGTTGAGGAGATACATATATATATATAGTGTGTGTGTCATATATATATAGTGTGTGTGTCTATATACATATCTCATCTCCAGCGTTTGGTATTGGAGGAGAGGATTGTGATACAGGTGGGTTGTATGAGAATGTAGTACAGGAGTGATGTGTGTATATACCTACATGTGCTGTGTCTGGTTTAATAAGGAAGTTATATGTGGGGTGTGTGATATTTTTGCTGTATCAGAGTGTACATGGGTGTATGAGTTACTGTCTCATAAAACACCCCTAACAATAATTCTGTATACACTCTTACATACACCGAGTGTCACCCAGGTCCAGGCAGGGTGACAAGAACTTTACCACGCAGACTTTATATCTGATAAGCACTCTACCCCCATTCATCCCGCTCTTCTCTCCACTACCACACACACACACACACACACACACACACACACACACTCTCTCTCACACACACACAGGAACATAGAGAAAAATATTCTGAATGGTGGGGGCAGGGGCAGTCATTGCCTTCCCCAGCCTGTCCCAGCCACTGTCTGAAAATCTGCCTGCTGTCTAGACCTCCATTCCCAGGGCCCATCCTACAGTCTCCAGGGCCCTGGGCCCGGTAGGAGCTACTGGGCTCTAATCTGGGGCAGAGGCCTCTAGCTGGAACTCTGGGGTGGGCTCCACTCTGCCCCACTTCCTCACATGACCACCCCCCTCCCAGGGCAAGCTACTCGCCTACATTTAACGCACGCAGGCACCACGTGGCCCGTGGCTCTCAGAGCTCCCCGCAGGACCCTGAGGACATTTCTCAGCCCTGCCCACGTGGTCTCAGTCTCTGGAAAGCCCTTCCCTTCCCTTGATTTCCTTTGGGAAATTCTTCCTGTTGAAGGAATAAAACCTCCTTGCTTTCAATATGACACCATCCCTAGACAAACAATCTTCTTTTGAACTGCATTCCACTTCTCAAGGTATTTTTCAACAAGGCCTTCAACTCATGGGGCTTCTCTTTCCACTTTGGTAAAAGGGGCCAAGCAACTCATGGGTCTCTCTCAGCATCCTTGCATCCTTCACATCCCACACCTCATGACCCCAGGGAAAGATAAAAGAGAATAAGAGACAACTCGGGGACTGAGAAAAGCTGCACCTCTAGGTCTGTGCAAGCAGGATGCAGCCTGCTGTGAGTCCGACAAAGCTCCAGGCCCGGCAGCCCCAGGAGAGAGTCCTCAGACCGGTGGAGCTGACCTCCCATCTCCCAGGGGCATCTGGCCGTCCTGTGCCGTCTCACACCACAGGGACCCTCCGGATGGATACGGCAGCATCAGTGAGACAAGGTCTCTCGCTCCCTGCTTCACAGGTGACACGTTCTCAGTAACCCCCCCTTCCTAGAGAAGGTTCAGTTTGGCAGAAACCCATGTGCCCCAGACAAGTTGCCCCCCACATACCTCCTCCCTTCTCGGCAGTTTCCTGGGACTCTTCATTTTCCAGATGTTTCCTCTTTTGTCGCTGTTTCATCGTACCAACTAGAAGTCTCCCTTAGAAGATGCCTCACCTCCAACTCCTCCTCTTCCCTACAGGTTGGCCCTTCTTGGCTCTCGGGAAATCCGTTGAAATGATTCAATACAAATAAAAATAGTCAAGTCTCCGAAATGGCTGAAGAACTTAGACCACTTAGTGAACCGGCAGTACTGCCTAGCGCTCACCAGGGCTGCTAAGTTTCAAAGGTTGCCACGGCCACAGCAGAGTTCTCTAACCTCAAGGATGACCTCAGAGCATTCTGTGGACCTAGGTTCAACAGTCTCTGCAACAGCACAGACCCCATTTTCAAGAACAATTCCTTTTTCCCAGTAGAACCTTTCCCGTGAATTCAACTCTCACATCTTTCAAATGTGGCAGGATATTTTGAGATGTTAATCTGTTCCTGTTTATTTTCTTTTCTTCATTTCACCCTTTCCCTTCTGCATTCAGGTGGGTAGCAGACCCTATGTTCTCTGGCCAGTGGAAGAGCCTGGCAGGGCATAGCAGAAATAGCATGCGGATGATCTTGGCTTTTATTTCTAAAATCGCAAACTCCATGGAAAAGAGAGGATACTTGAGCAGAAACATAACAGAAGCAGGTTTTTGAAATTAGGTACTGTCTTGTTTCCCTACTGGAGTGTTGAAATGTGCTAATTAAGTCAGAGAGAGATGCCTGCAAATCCTGGAGGAGAAAAGGCCTCTCAAGTGTGGCTGGAGGGGTAAATGGGGCAAAAACTCTAAAAGGAGATGGCTATAGTATGCATACAAGCAGAATCATGGCAACCAGAATCATGGCAACCTGTCCCATGCATGGCACAGCAGCCACCAAACCTGAAGGAGGCATGGCCCCCGAGCTGATGGACATCTACACTTACAACTGTGGGCTCCAGTCAACAATGATCATGCTTCCACCCACTCCCTCAAAAGCTTGGCCCTGTATGACTTCCAAATAGGGATGGCGGAAATCCAAACAGGACACCAGCAGGATCAAGGCTTAAAATACAAATTACATGGAATTATAAAAAAAAAATTTGTACTGTTTCTTGCACACCTCTGCTTGTGGGCTGTAATTTATACCAGTTATAAGTGGCAATGCATCTGGATCCTCCTGATTCCACTCTAGAATTAGAGACACCTCATTTTGAGGTAGTGGCCAGGATCCAGTGGGAGTATTGGTGCACGGGACGAGGTAGACTCCCAGAAGTCACTGCTTTCATTAGAAATACCACATGGACTGAGGCGGGTCCCAATTTGAAAGGGCACTGCAGAATGACTTAAGGTTTCAGGCAACAGGAGAGTGAAGAGAGGACAACTTCAGCCTTGTGAGGGTTTGCTGACGAGATTAAATCTTTCTGCTTCTTGGAGAATCCCTAGAAAAGATGGGGCAAGGAGGATTTTTCTTCTTAGTTTTTTGGGGGTAGAAATTTCCAAACATACACAAAGTAAAGAGAATGATATAAAAGGAATGCAGCACCATTTACCCATCACCCAGTTTCAACAATTATCAAAAGTCTGCCATTCTTGTTCTGCTACACACACACACACAAACAGACTCACTCACTCGCACACTTTTAGCTTTTTGTGTATTTATTTTGGTTTAGGAGTTTGGGGAGGGTGGGGGAAGTGCTGTTTTTTATTGCAAATCTCAGACATTATGTCATTTCTCCTTACATGCCATAGTATTTATCTCCAACAGATAAACTTGTTTCTAACATAACATCATTATCTCACCCAACAAATTTACTTATCATTTTTTCTTACCACAATAACTAAGCCATACTCAATTTCCTCCAAATGTGTTTAAATGTCTTTTTTATACATGATCTATTGAAATCAAGATCTAAAGAAGGTCCACACCTTGCAATGTCAATGTGTCTTTTAGTCTACAACAGTTCTCCCTCCCTTTTTTTTGGCACTGATTTGTTGAAGAAACTAAGTAATTTATCCTGTAGAATTTTCCACAGGAATCTGTTGATTGTATTCCTGTGATGTCATTTAAGATGTTCCCTATTACCTCTATTTTCTTATAAACAGGTAGTTACAGCTAGAGAATTAATTAGATTTAGATTCGATTTCATGTTACTATAAGATTATTTTATAAGTGATGCTGTGTACCTTCCTATTGCATTGCAACAGGAAGTACAAAAAGTTGTCTGGTTTTTTGTTTGTTTGTTTGTTTTGTGGTACGCAGGCCTCTCACTGTTGTGGCCTCTCCCGTTGCGGAGCACAGGCTCCGGACTCGCAGGCCCAGCGGCCATGGCTCACGGGCCCAGCCGCTCCACGGCACGTGGGATCCTCCCAGACCGGGGCACGAACCCGCGTTCCCTGCATCAGCAGGCGGACTCTCAACCACTGCGCCACCAGGGAAGCCCTGTCCGATTTTTAATGAAGTTAAGGTTGATCGGTGAGGTCAGGTACTGTCAGCTTGGTCCCTCCATCCATAATGATGAGGAACCACAATGCTCCTCACCAACCTTTCAACAAAGAGCATAACAACCGTTGATGATCACCACTTCCTTAGGAGTTGAACTTTCATTAGAAGTTCTAATTCCATCATTCCAAGGAGGACGATTCTTTAGGCATCTTTCTTAGACCCTGAATTTCTGAAAGAAATGAACCTCCCCGCAGAAAAAGAAAGACAATTCCAAACGTACCAGCTCAGGTTGTCCAACCTAGAAGCAATGGATTCATCACAACAAGCCCCAGCTAGGCTGGGACATACTTTGGTCATTCCTTCATTTCTCTGTCCATTCTTCATTATATAAACAGTTATTTAGCCCCTCCTATGTGCCAGGCTCTCTAGATTCTGTACTTGAACATTTAAGAACAAAAGAGATACAAAGATTTTCTCTCAAGGAGCTTAATTCTAGAGGAGAAGATAGACAATTTTTTAAAAATACCTAGTAGGTTAGATATTTGCAAGTACCATGATGAAAAATAAAACAAGAAACTGGATATGGGACTATAGGAAATAGGGGAATTTCTATGCTGAATGGGAGATCATGGAAGGCTTCACTAAAAGGGCCTCATCTCAGTAGTACCTGAGGGCAATAAGGGAGCTTAGAGCCAAGGTTACATTTTTTAGGCAAAAAGAGACTGGAGTCTGGGTCAGGGATTGCTTGGCGTGTTTGAATACCAGGAAGAAAGCCAGTGTGGCTGAGGGAGGGAGAGAGTGGTAAGAGGGGAAGTCAGAGGGATAATGAGGAACCAAATTATATAGGGTTTATAGGCTACTGCTAAAACTTTGGCTTTTACTCTGAGTGACATGGGAAGCTTGGAGAGTTTCAAATGAGAAATTACATTTTAAAAGATCACTCTAATTGCTTTGTTAAGAACAGACATTTGGAAGGCAAGGTCAAAATCAGAGAGAACGTGGGCCTATTGCAATAAACCAGGAAAGAGATGAATGATAAAAGGAAAACTAGGTAAACTAGACGTCATCAAAACTAACATCATTTGCTATGTGAAAGATTCTTTTAAGAGTATAAGAAGTCAAGCTAGAGACTGGGAGAAAATATTTACAAACTACATAGCCAACAAAGAAGTAAGTCTATAACATATAAAGAACGCTCAAACTCAACAGTAAGAAAATAAACAATTTGATTAGAAAATGGACAAGAGATATGAAGAGATTCTTCATTGAAAAGGATATACAAATTGCAAATAAGCACATGAAATGTTGTTTAATAGCACTAGCCATTAGGAAAATGAAAATGAAAACCATAATGAGATACCACTACTCATCTATCAGAATAGCTATGGGATCCAGGTAAAAAATTAGCTTGTTTCTCCAAACAAATTTTTCTTAGCACCTGTGAAGTCACTATGAAAGGTACAGTGAATAAACATTTTGCTATCCACGGAAGAGCAAGTAAGTTAACACTGGAGAAAACACTTCATAAACCATACAAGCTGCACAAAGGTGAGGCGCAACAGTTACCCTCAGGAGCTGTAATTCTGAATACTTTTAACCTCAAATGGACCATGAACTTCTCTGTTCCAACCTAAGATTCTATAGTCGTTTCGCAGTATCCTCAGGGGATTGGTTCCAGGAGCCCCTGCAGACACAAAAATCCACGGATGCTCAAGTCCCCTATGTAAAATGGCATAATATAGTCAGCCCTCCTTACCTACAAGTTTCGCATATGCAGATTTAACCAACCATGGATAGAAATTTTGATTCACATTTGGTTGAACCTAAGGATGTGTATTTACTGAAATAAATCCACCTATAAGTGGACCCACACAGTTCAAACCCACGTTGTTCAAGAGTCAGCTGTAGTACCAAGTCCAGTGTGGAGGGACAGGGGGTTCCCCGTATCACCAAGCAATTATCAGGCACCACCTGAGTGTTGTACAAATGCAGCTCAATTCTGACACTATTTACACAAAGATAGCGTCAGATTCCACAGATTAGGGCTCAGTCCTACAAGACTGCTCCTACCACACACACACACACACACACACACACACACACACACACATTCAGACACCAGTAGCAAATAATGCAGGTTTCCATCCTTGCTTCTGACCAACCAGATGTTGCTTTCAGCTTGATTAATCCATTCACACAAAGCAGGCTCACAGAACTCAGAGAAACATTTTACTTACTAGATGACCATTTTACTTACTACATATTACAAGTTTTATATATATATAGACTCAGGAACAGCCAGATGGAAGAGGTGCATAAGGTAAGGCATAGGGAAAGTGTCTAAATCTTTCATGGTCTCTGAGCATGCCACTCTCCTCGTATCTCCACATGTTCACTGACTCAGAAGCAATCCAAACCCCCTCCTTTTGGGTTTTTATGGAGGCTTATTACATAAGCATGATGATTAAATCATTTGCCTTCGGTGAATGATTCAACCTCCAGCCCCTCTGACCACTTCAGAGGGGTGGGAATGAAAGTTCCAACCCTCTAATCACTTGGTTGGCTCTACTAGCAATGAGCCTCCATCCTTAGACACCTTTATTGCCCTCAGCACTTAGGAAATTCCAAGGGTTTTAGGAGCTCTGCGCCAGAACAATTGAAGACCAAATATCTATTTCTTATTATATCACACAACCACCTTCAATTTCTACAGCACTGCCTTCAAGAGGTTGCCCAGTCCATATTTCAGTATTTCCAATGATAGGAAACAATTCCCCTCAAAGCAGCTTTGACATTTATGTATAGAAAACTTAAACTTCAATTCAGTAAAAAGAAGGATCTTCTATATCCATAGGGCTTTCCCTATGTATCCCAGTTATACTCTTTTTTTTTTTTTTTAAGAATATGTTGGGGGTAGGTGTTTATTAATTAATTAATTAATTTTTGCTGTGTTGGGTCTTCGTTTCTGTGCAAGGTCTTTCTCTAGTTGCGGCAAGCGGGGGCCACTCTTCATCGCGGTGCGTGGGCCACTCACTGTCGCGGCCTCTCTTGCTGTGGAGCACGGGCTCCAGACGCACAGGCTCAGTAGTTTTGGCTCACAGGCCTAGTTGCTCGGCGGCATGTGGGATCCTCCCAGACCAGGGCTCAAACCTGTGTCCCCTGCATTAGCAGGCAGACTCTCAACCACTGCACCACTAGGGAAGCTCCAGTTATACTCTTTGAAGACCATATCAATCAAGAATAAGCTTGAACTACCACTGGCATTTTTCACAGAACTAGACCAAAAAATTTCACAATTTGTATGGAAACACAAAAGACCCCGAATAGCCAAAGCAATCCTGAGAACGAAAAACAGAGCTGGAGGAATCAGGCTCCCTCCCTGACTTCAGACTATACTACAAAGCTACAGTAATCAAGACAGTATGGTACTGGCACAAAATCAGAAAGATAGATCAATGGAACAGGATAGAAAGCTCAGAGATAAACCCACTCACATATGATCACTTTATCTTTGATAAAGGAGGCAGGAATGTACAGTGGAGAAAGGACAGCCTCTTCAATAAGTGGTGCTGGGAAAACTGGACAGGTACCTGTAAAAGTATGAGATTAGATCACTCCCTAACACCATACACAAAAATAAGCTCAAAATGGATTAAAGACCTAAATGTAAGGCCAGAAACTATCAAACTCTTAAGAGGAAAACATTGGCAGAACACTCTATGACATAAATCACAGCAAGATCCTTTCTGACCCACCTCCTAGAGAAATGGAAATAAAAACAAAAATAAACAAATGGGACCTAATGAAACTTCAAAACTTTTGCACAGCAAAGGAAACCATAAACAAGACCAAAAGACAACCCTCAGGATGGGAGAAAATATTTGCAATTGAAGCAACTGACAAAGGATTAATCTCCAAAATTTATAAGCAGCTCATGCAGCTCAATAAGAAAAAAACAAACAACCCAATCCAAAAATGGGCAGAAGACCTAAACAG